CCCCTGCAGCCTTGGGGGAGACAAGCTCACCCGTGACCCCCGCAGGCCGCTGCTGGCTGGATGCCCTGGAGCTGGCCGTGCGCTGCTCCGGCCTGTTGCGACTGGGTGCCTGCAGGCACGGCCGCGACGGGGACCCGGGGTCCTCACCCGACGCCTCACCCTCCTCGCTCTGTGGTCTGCCCGCCTCGGCTGCCACGCACCCGGACCAGGACCTGTTCCCGTGAGTGAGGCAGGGCGGCGGCGGGGGGTAGGATGCCACCCCTGGGGTCTCCTCGTAGACAGGCGGAGGGATGGGGTGAGAGTAGCCCCAAACGCAGGCTGTGGCCCGAGTGAGCATGCCGGGAGCCTCAGTCTGTCCACCTTCACGACTGGGCTGATCGCATCAGGGGTGGTCGGGTGGGGACTAAGCGCAGGAGCATGTGTGAGTTCAGGGTCCAGTGGCCCGGGGCGGGTGGCCCGGGCGTGGCCAGGACCCATGGGTGTCACCTGCCTTCCAGGCTGAACGGGTCTCCCCTGGAAAACGACGCGTTCTCAGACAAGTCGGAGAGAGACCACCCCGAGGAGTCGGACGCCGAGGCCCAGGACCTCAGCCGGAAGGCCGAGAGCGGCAGCGACCAGTCGGAGACGCCCGGGATGCCGGTGCAGAGAGGGACCACCTATGTGGAGCAGGACCACGAAGACCTGGCCGAGGTGAGGTGGGGGCCCCGGCCTCGCCCGCCTTCCAGAAGCGGAGGCGGCCGAGCCGAGTCCCAGGGAGTGCAGGGTCCGCCCCGTCGCGTGGCGGCCCGGCCAGGAACGGCCTTTGGGATGCACGCACTCCCAAGAGGATGTGGGACAGGCAGGGATCACTGCGGACAGGCCATACCCGGCGTTGGGGTGCATGATAGGAGGGGCCCTCGATCCGTGGGGTGGCCCTCGGCTTCCAGGGGGAGCACAGCTACCTGGGGTGAGGGGCACAGGCCCGTCCTTCCTGGCACCTGTGCACACTTGGGCCCAGGGCAGCTGTGAACGACACAGACCTGGGCCTGGCTCTCAGCTCACAGTCAGCAAGGAACACAGTTCCACAGCCCCAAGAGGAGGCCAGGGAGGGGTGGGGGCATTGACCAGCCGAGGTCGCCGAGGCTTGAGAGGGGGGTCTCATGGAAGACTTGAAGAGGAGAGAGGAGGGCATTGTGGGCGGAGGGACCCCAGGGCACGGCCGTGGCAGGGACAGGCATCTGGTGCCCCAAGGGCACACACAGTCAGGTGGCTGATGCCACACGCACAGTCAGGACACTGCGATGCATCTCAGGGGGAATGCAGGAAAATTTGCAGGGTCTGGGCTTCTGGGGGGTGGTTTGGGGGCTTGCCATGGGTGGGTTTGGTCAAGACCTGGGGGCTCTGTGATCGGGATCTTGCCATCCTCATCCGAGAGGCTGTCCCCACTCCATCTTTCACCCTGAAAAACCAGGCTTGGGTGGCCACTGCAGGGGGAAGAGGTGGGTGGAAGCCTGGGGTTAGCAGGAAAAGGGGGTTCGCGTCCTTATTGGCACTCGGGGCTGTGTCTTGATGGTGTCTTGCTCTGCCTCGGAGGCAGAGTGGCCCTGTCTGTAGTTCCGTGGCCTCCCTGTGGGTGGTGGCCACTCTGGGGATCCAGCTGTTCCCCCACAGGGAGGGGGAAGGTCAGGATGGGCCTGGGGCGTGGGCTGAGGGTCACAAGGGTCGGGCTGAGGGGGTCGGGCCAGGCAGGGGCTCAGGGTGGGAGTGGGCGCCGAGACCTTGTGTGGGCAGGAGCGGTGTCAGGAGAATGCTGAGGGCACCGGCCCTGGTGGGATGGGGGAGGGAGGCGGGGGGTTCCAGATGTTCCAGGGATGGATCGGGTGGGGGGATGGCCAAGAGCACGGAGAGGGCAGGGCGGGGATGGGGGGACACTGCCCAGGTGACCGTGTCTGGGCAGCCGGGTCCGAGTGCCCCAATTTTCGGGGGCTGAGCACAGAGGCAGCTTGGCCACGGAGCCCGGGGTCAGTGGTGGGTGGTGGAGACCTTCACCTGGACACGCTCAGGGCAGAGGTGTCAAGGGTGGGACGTGGCCAGAACAGGAGGACTCCTGATGCTGGCAGCTGTGCCCAAGCCCCAAAGCTGGCTTGAAATCAAGGCCAGGGAGCCCCAGCTCCGGGCTTCCCATAGCTACTCAGGGGCCACCCTCATGGGAGTCAGACATGGTCCCTGCCTCTGGGGCTTCCCTGACCCCGAGGTGCCCAAGCGTGCTGTCTACTAGGCCAGTACCACTAGGACTTGTCTGCGGCTATGCATGCACAGAGAGGCCTAACCACTTGGCCAAGGTGGCCCAGCAGGGTGCTGTCGGATCCCGAGGGGGGGCCCACACCCCCATTCTGCTGCTTCCCTAGGGGCGGAGAATGCAGAAAAGCCCTGAGTTCAAATCCTACCTCTGCCTCACATGAGCTGTGAGACCCTGGGCAGGTCGCCTGTTCCCTCTGTCCTGTGTCCCGTGGCTGCTGCCAGTGTGAGTCCAGCATGGCAAAGGGGCAGCTCCGTGGCTCCATGGTGTGGACTTGGCCGCTCCGGGAGGGCTGGTGTCTTGGGAGAGGAGGAGGCATCCAGGGAGGGCCCCGTCCTCCTGCTCCGTGACCCATACCAAGGGAGAGTATTGGACGACGCGTCCTGGAGATGACAGGTGGACTGCGGCGTTGAGTGCTGGTTTCACGGGTGCTCACGTAGCTGCAGCTCCTCAAGCTGTCCACGTTCAGTACTCATAGCTTTTCTGAAACTGCTCGTACCTCAATCAAGAGGTTTAAAACCAAAAATAGCGACTGGGTGCGGTGGCTCAAGCCTGTAATCCCAGCACTTGGCGAGACCTTGTCTCTACAATACATAATGATAATAAAAAACTGAGCTGTGTGTGGTGGCACACACCTTTAGTTCCGGCTACTTGGAAGGCTGAGGCGGAAGGATCGCTGGAGCCCAGTAGGTCAAGGCTGCGGTGGCTGTGAGCATGCCACTGTGCTCCAGCCTGGGTGACAGTGAGACTCCAACTCAAAAGTAAATAAATAAGCCAGGCTCGGTGGCTCAGCCTGTAATCCCGTGCCTTTGGGAGGCTGAGGTGAGTGGATGGCCTGAGCCCGCGGGTTCGAGACCCGCCTGGGCAGCGAGACCTCATCTCTACAATAAATCAAAAAATCAGCCGGGCGTGGTAGCGCAGGCCTGTAATTCCGGCTACTCGGAAGGCTGAGGAGGACGGATCGCCGGAGCCCAGCAGGCGAGGCTGCGATGGTTGGGAGCGGTCACTGCACTCTGGTCTGGGTGACAGAGCGAGACTCCAACTCAAAAAAAAAAGTAAATAAATAAATAGATAAATTTTTAAGTGTTTTTTTAAGAAGTAGAAGAGCAGTCCTCGTGCGGTGGCTCATGCCTGTCATCCCAGCACTTTGGGAGCCCAAGGTGGGAGGATCACTTGAGCCCAGGAGTTCAAGAACCACCTGGGCAACATAGTGAGATCTTTTTTTTTTTGAGTTGGAGTCTCACTCTGTCTCCCAGGCTGGAGTGCGGTGGCACACTCAAGGTGCATCCCAGCGTCGACCTACTGGGCTTTGGTGAAACTTCTACCTCAGCCTTCCAAGTAGCTGGAACTACAGGCGCGTGCTCCCGTGCCCTGCTAATTTTTGATTTACTGTAGAGATGAGGTCTTGCCAAGTTGCCCGGGCTGGTCTTGAACCCACAGGCTCAGGCGATCCATTCTCCTCGGCCTCCCAAAGAGTTGGGATGACAGGCTGAGCCACCAAGCCCGGCCATGAGATCTTATCTCTACAAAAAAACAAAACGAAAAATTAGCCGGGCATGGTGGCGCGCATCTGTAATTCCAGCTACTTGGGAGGCTGAGGCGGGAGGA